GCTAGTTAGCGCGTGTGCCTCCGTATCTGCCTCCTCGTTGCGGTTCGGGCCCACGTCCAGCTCCCCGGCGTGCACAGGGAACCACTTGACGGTAATGTTGGTTTCAGGTCTTGCTATAGTTGAACATACTCTTGCAGTGGTTCCATGGACGTTGTTTGTAGCAAAGTTGGCTATTGCCGTCTTCGAGTCGCTGAGGACCGTGCGGCAATCCGGGATCGCTAGTGCCAGTGCGATTGCAAACTCTTCGGCTTGCGTGGGCGACTTGCACCGTATGCTTCCCGACGTTGTGAGTACTCCAGTGTCTGCTGCGATGACTGCTGCTGCGTACGTGTTTGGCCGGTGGGGATACTTCGCCACGTCCACGTAGTACGCGCGCGGATCGTTGGCGTGACCTTTTGTGAGGGCCCTGGCTCTCGCCGTTCTTCTTTCTTGGTGCTCTTGTGGATGCATGTGCTTCGGTAAGGGTGGAACCTTCAGTCTTTGGAGAACGTCTCGGGGTAGCTGCTTTGCTACCTCCGGAGTCGTCGCTGGCGCGTTGATTCCGATGCGCTGTAGTATCGTTCTTCCTGTCCTGGTCTGGGACAGGCGGTGATACTGCGCCGTTCGCTGGGCTTCGGCGATTTCTTCCAGCGTGTTGTGAACGCCCAACGCGAGCATGCGTTTTGTGTTCGTGTGGGGGTATAAGCCCAGGGCCGTCTTGTACGCCTTTCTGATCATCGCGTCAATCTTGATCTTCTCCGCCGCTTTCCAATTGTGGAACGACGCTACGTAAGAGATGTGGCTGACTGCAAACGACTGGGTGAGTTGTAGTAGACTGTCTTCTCGCATGCCCTGGTACCGCGTGGCCACCTTCTCGAGTAGGCGGGTGGCCAGCGAGAGCTTTGCGTGGAGCTTCTGTACCGTCACGTTGTTGCGGTTCAAGTCCTGGAGGTGCAGCCCCAAAACTCTGAGTGTCTGCACGTGCGGTATCGGCGTTCCGTCTTGGGTTACAACGTTGATGTTCTGCGTTGTCGGGCGTCGCGCACTTCGCGGTGAGATCACTAGCAGTTACGACTTGGTTGGTGAACATTTGAGTCCGGTGGGTCATAGGTATTCTTCTACGGCGGCGACGGCTTCTTGGAGGGCTGCCTCGATCTGGCTGTCGCTTCCTCCCGTTGACCACAGCGTGATGTCGTCCGCGTAGATCGTGTACTTGATGTTTCTAACGCGTTCCAATCTTCTTGCAACGCCCATCATGACAAGGTTGAACAACAGAGGGGAGATCACCGAGCCCTGTGATGTCCCCGTGCTCCCCAGCTGCTTGAGCGGTAGTTGTAGTTCTCCTGCCACAAGCCGCGTGGTGCGGTTGGTCAGGAAAGCTTTGATGTAAGCGAACGTCCTCTCCCCCATGTTGAAGTGGGACACCTGCCGAAGGACGGCCGAGTGGTGTACGTTGTCGAATGCTCCCTGGAGATCCAGTCCGAGCACCGCTCTGTTATCCAACGTGGGAAAGTGTCTGTCCACGATTTCGTTCTTGAGCAACAGCATGGCGTCCTGGGTACACAGTTTGGCCCGGAACCCCAGCATTGTATGTGGATATATGTTGGATTCTTCCAAATAACGTTGCCATCTGTTGAGTAGGACGTGTTCAAGCGCCTTGCCCACGCACGACGTTAGAGAGATGGGTCTCAGGTTGTCTATGCTGGGTGGTTTGCCCGGTTTGGGGATCAGGACCGTTTTCGCGGTCTTCCATTGTTGCGGTAGCTTGCCCGTCCGCCAGCACTGGTTGTAGTACTTGGTGAGGGCTTCGATTGCCGTGTCGTTCAAGTTCCTCAATGCCTTGTTGGTGACGTGGTCCGGTCCGGATGCTGATTTACAGTTGATTGTTTGTAGAACCGCTCGCACTTCCCATTCTTCGATGTCGGCATCTAGTTTCTCGTTGGTTGCCCCTTCGTAGCTGGGGAGTGGGTGCGTTGGCGTTACGGGGAGATACTTGGCGTCCAGGCGTCGTTGCACCTCAGCCTCTCTCATTTCTTTGACGGCTTTGTGAATTGTCTTGTTCAGCATGTAATGCTGAGCTCCCTTGGTTGTCTGATCGTTGAGCAAGTGGCGTAGCAGGCGCCACGTCTTGCCTTTGTGTAGTTGACCGTCCGCTTCTTGACACACCGCGTGCCACTGCTGTCTACAGAGGACTGCGCTGTGATGCTTGATGTCTCTGTTGAGTTGTGCTATACGTTTGCGTAGCTTTCTGTTGTGGCGTTGACGTTTCCAGCGCCGTATCAGCGAGTTGCGGGCTTCCATGAGGTGCGCTAGTCTGCTGTCCAGCATCGTAGCCTCCGGCTCCGCTTCTACCGTCTGAGTGGCGTCTTTGGTCGTGGCGTTCAACATGTTGGTCCATGCTTCTATGTTTTCAATGGTTTCCGTAACGTTGTCTTCTAATTTCTTTCTGTACTCGTGCCAGTCGATGATTTGCTGTTGCTGTGCTATATGCGTGTTCTCTGCGATGGGTATTGTAATTTAGAGTATGCAGTGGTCACTTCCCAACGTCTCCCCGGTGTTCCGCCACGTGACTCCACGCAGTGCTGAGGCCGTGCTTATGAAAGCGAGGTCCGGGTTTGTGTCTCGCTGCGACGACGTTCCGTTTCTCGTAGGTGCGTTGGGGTCGTTTAGCAATTGGTAACCTGCGTCCATTGTTTTGTCGTAGAGACTGTGGCCCTTCGCCGTTGTGTATGGATACCCCCATGCCGTATGTTGAGCGTTGAAGTCTCCACACAGTAGGGTTACGTTGGAGCCCGCGAGCTGTTGCGCTTTGTGCACAAGGGTGCGGACTTTTTGCTGGAAGTGCTTCGGATTGCTGTACACGTTGATTATAAAAGTGCTTTCACGGTGCTTGCGCTTCCCGGTGACGATTTCAACCGTGCTGTGCTCGATGGCGCCGTTGGGTAGCAGCTCGTGATCTATTGAAGTTAGATTCTTCTTTACCAAGGTGCAGACCCCCTGCCCTGCGCCTTTCCCAACTGTTCGTGCGCTGGGGGGCTTCGCAAAGGATCTGTACCCCGGTAACGTCGGTGGGGTTTCACTGTGCGTCTCTTGTAGTATTATAACGTCGGGTCTCTTGGTGCTTTGTTTTATGTACTGTTGTAACGATGCTTTTCTCCCCTGTATGCCGTTGGGATTCCATTGCCATATGAGGAGATGATGCTGTTGTGTCTGTGCTCTGTTTCTGTGGTTAGCGGTGCCTGTTGCCGTTGTCCCGTCCATTATTGCGGTTGGGTGAAGGCCTGTTGGGGGATTAGTCCTGACGCCGTCAGCGCGTGTATTAGTGCATCCAACTTAGTCTGTATTCCTTGTATGGTAGACTGCATGCCATGTACGGGTGTCACCAATGTGTCGAGGCGTGCGTTGGTAGCATCGAGGCGATCGTTAGTAGCTTTGATGACTTGGCTCAGGGTTTCGTAGTTGGCTTTCATGGTCTGTTCTAGTCGATCTTGACGTTCTTCTAGGCTGTCCAGCCTAGCGTTGACTCTTCGTTCACGTGCGTATTCGAGCGCTCGCTTCTTGGGTCCCTGTTCGCTTGTCCTAGCAACGTCGATCGTTTCGGGTTCTGCGCTGTTAGCTTCCGTGGTAACTGGGACTTTACCTCCATAGCTGAGTTTGTGTTGTTTTCCTTTGGCGTTGGGGGTCTTGGTTGACTCTGCGGTGGCGACAGTGGCGGTGGCGGAGTCACCTGTTGTTGTTGCTGCTGCTGCTGTGCGTTGATGAGTTGGTTCAACTTAGCGTTCATCTCTTGCATTTGAGCTCTCTGTTCAGCGATGCATCGCTTGAGCTGCTCATTTTCATTGCGTAGTGACTGGATGGTGTTGTCCTTTGCTTCAGCTACGTGGTTGAGCGGATTGCGGTTCGCCGCTTGCGGGTTGATTGCTTGGGCCCCATTTATCACATTGCCCGGTCGCTGCTGGTTGCGGTTGTAATTCATGTTTTCGCTGCGCTTGCCGTCGGTGCTTCTGCCGCGGCTCGCCGATTGTCTCCTGCTTTTGTCCCGCTTCCTCGAGCGGCTGCGTCCTCTCTTTGATAGATGCGCTTCGTTCTGTTGTTGCGGTGGCAGCTGCGGGAAGTCTTGCGACGAAAACGCTGACGCCGCGTTTCTGCGCTCCCATCTGCGCTGAGTAACTACGAAGGGCACCTTGTACTTGTTCGTACAGCCCTCCGCGCCCGTGGCGTGGGCTCCGTTACACAGTTTGCAACGTGGCTTGCACCGCGCCGCGTGGTCTGCCGTCGGGTTAGGCGCGCCACACGCAAAGCAGATCTTGGTTTCCGGCGTGGGGCATACATCGGCTCGATGGCCGATTTTGCCGCATGTCTTGCATACGTAGTGGTGTTGTCTGTATAATCCACACTTTACTATAATGGAGCCATACTTTATGTAGTTGGGAACCTTTGTTCCTGCGAACAAAACGACGATCGAGGTAGTGTTTCCAATCCTGTGTGCTTCGAGGACCTGCGGGTTTGCTTGGTTAACGATATTCTCGTGCAGATCTTCGGCAGTGTTCTCTACTGCGATGCCACGGATTACTCCTTTCACTGTGCCGTGAGGCGCGGTGCAGTAGGCATGCGTTTCGTAGCTACGGCCCCCAATGTACAGAGAGCGTACGCTTGCGTAGTAACGTGCTCGTTCTTCATCAGGCGTGCTGATCACGATGATGTTCTGCGTGGGATTAATAAAGATCGTATCTGCTTTCCCTGTGGTCTTGGGAACGTTGGCTGCCGTTATGACTGCGGACATTACGATGTCAGCTTCCAGTTTTGCTAGGAATAGCCCTCCTCTCGGTCGTATTACAATCTTCTGCTCTTCCCGCGGCAAATTCAGCGGCATGCGGGACGCTTTAGTAATTCTCGCTACCATGCGTTTTGCTTGAGCTTCACTAAATTGCGGAGTTGGCTTGTTGCTTTGGGTAACTTCGTTAAGCTGGGGCTTATTAAGTCGTTGGCTTACTTGTTTTCCGGAGATTTTTCATCCCGCGATGTCGCTTGGGTGTAAGTCGTTGCCGCGCACCGCGACTGCGGTGCGGCCGGTGCTGCGTAGCACCTCTTGGTCGTTGATCGTGTCGGTGGTCGTAGTGTCCTTGCCGCCAGCACAAAAGTCCATGTCTTTCGTAGCAAGGGCCGCGAAACGGTTGTGGGAAACGGCGTTGAGCTGCGATGAGGCCGAGGCCATCTTCGGCGATGAGGAGTCGAGCGTTGAGCCGGGCCGGGCGGCCGACGCAGTTGCGCGTCCCCGCCGTACTCGCGCTAAGCCTAGGCGTGGTCCGCTAGGCCCAGCGTCGCACAAGTGAAGAAAACGTCAAAAATTGACGAAAAGTCCGGTTGGCCGGACCAAAAATAGCATCAATCGAGTCCAGGGATGTTCACGGACACTGTAGTGATGATATACAATCGATTGGAAGCAGTTAAGGCGGCACAATTAGCGAAAACTGCGGAGCTCATTCGGAGCACGTCTGCTCAGCTCGGCGACCGGAGCGCCACCTCCTCTCCTAGGCCAAGCCTGGGCCGCGTCGCCGGGCGCCTGGCTTGCGCCTGGTGACCGTGGGCCTTGTTGGGCTGAAGATAGAATACTACGTCGAAGAGGAGACTATAACGCCCGAAGATATTGAAGCGGGAGGGTGGGCTCCAGTGCTGAAGGCACAGGACCCATTTAAGAAGACTCAGCATGGCGACAACGCAAAGAGTGCCTTGTGAGACGCAGGCCGGCAGCGACGGGTGCAGGACGCACGGAGCGCAGCAAGTCAAGCGGGGGAAAGCACCGGAGGGGAAGAAACGCGGACCGTTTCGCAAGCTGCCGGCCACGGATTTCAAGGTTGTGTACAGGACCCAGAACTGGGACTTGAGTGCTGTGACAGCGAGAGAACTCCAATGTACACTAAGAGCAGCAGCGCGTCTAACGAGTGCAATTGCCGCGGACGAAGACATTGTGCGGGTTAATGGCACAAACAACACGTTGACGGTGAGCACACCGCGCATAAATCGCAGTGGGGCATAATGCGACTGTGAAGACGCTCAAGCTGGGTGATGGTGATCGGCCGGTTTCGGCGTTCGTGGCGCCGTTAGAGAACTCCGTGCGTGGAGTGATTTACAATGCTTATGATTGATGCCCAGTGGAAGAAGTTCGGGCGGGATTTTTGAAGAAGAATGAAGGCATGGACATTCTGGACGCGAGACATCTGGGAAAGTCAAAGGCGATTCAGATTACGTTCGGGGGAAAACGCATACCCCGACAGGTTTCTCACTGGAACTGTCTGTAGCTCAGTTGTTAGAGCATCGAACGCGTTATTCGAAGGTCGTAGGTTCAATTTCTGCTCACGGCTGGTTATTTTTCACCCACTTTTATTTCTTCTCATTTCACATTCCATTGGTTCTAATAACTTCGCCTATACGTTACTTGGCATTACTGTCTGTTAGATCTCATTATTATTGTGTCAAAACACGGAAAAACGAGCCCTTAGGTATACACTTCTTTCCCTTATTCAATACCGAGGTTCTCGTACTGGCAGACTTGGTGTCATTAGGTTGTATACGAGGGACTATTGATCAGCTGCCCGCTCGTAATAAGTTCTCACGCTACGTGACGCCACACATGTGCATAAAAGAGTTTCACACTCGTCGCTTGGCTTAGAGATGGCACTCACTGACACTCCTATTTCTAAATTCACATATAAACCCAAAAAAGTGGATGGAGGGAAGGCCGCTTTGACAGCTCAGTGGTTAGAGCATCGAACGCGTTATTCAAAGCTCGTAGGTTCGATTCCTGCTCATGGCTGGTTATTTTTTCACCCACTTTTCTTTCTTCTTATTTTACATTCCATTGGTTCTAATAACGTCCCCTATACATTCCTTGGCAGTACTGTCGATACATATATATATATATATATATATATATATATTTATATATATATATATATATATATATATATATATATATATATATATATATATATATATGTGTGTGTGTGTGTTTTTATTTATATATATACGTGTGTGTGTGTGTGTGTGTGTGTGTATGTATGTTGCATGACCAATATACTGCAATCGTCAGGGCTGTATAAATTAAAATAAACATAAAATACACTCCACAAGTGTAGGGTTGCCATTTTTTTGTCATTCGTCCACACAGTTCAACTTTTAGTCCCACTGGAGCATTCTACTAGGACCAACATTCAAACAAAGTAAAGTAAGTGCTAGAGGGTAACAGTTGAAACCTTGCAGTTGCACCCGCAGTTAGTCCAAAACTGGTTCAAAATAAGTGGCAGCGTATTTAGTCCTCTAAAGGATCAAAGGCATACCCCGCTTTAGTCCTTTTCGGCTTAGAGCGCACTCTCGTGAAATATTAAAAATAGTTCGGCAGATACCACGTACCTGGGAATCGACGTTAAGTGAAGCATGCGGAGGGAAGGTCAGTGTGACGCAATTTATTTTTATTGACCGACACGTCATGAAATGACGCTAAATATATGTACGAATGTCGCGCGCACAGACATTCGTTGAAGAAATGCAGATGTTTATATTACCAGTTGTTTGCATTTGCGCAACGATGCCAAAAGGAACATCCGTATTAGCAACACCAGAAGCTGATATGAACCGCTGATGCTCGCGAGAATGCTGGCCCTGGACACTGCTACATAAATGAACTTCAGCGCGTTGTAACTAACCCCAATCGACGTTACCCGACATCACGGCTCTATCAAAGGAGTAGATATGTAATGTTTATAAAATTGGGTAGGTAGCACTGCAACCACTATGAACGTTTCACGCAGATAAGCGTCTATTTAAAAAGAAGATTCCAAGCTTGGCGTAGCTCTGGGGTAGAATACTTCAGTACCACGCAGAACACTTGGGCTCCATTCCAGCTGGCACTCGGACATTAATTCTTTGCATTCATGGGTTCGACGCTACCGATGTCAGGAATTTCTTAACGCTCGCGCGTTAAGCATGCTCATGTGTGTTCTCGTTATTCCTGGGTAGAAACTAAGTGTCCATCAACTGTGGTATATACCGGCATACCAGCAGCGCATACCCGCCCGTGGGTACGTGCCACTATCTGGCGGGAAGTGTTTGACGACGCACGCCACGTGATTATGACATTATTTGTGTCTTGACTATCGCGTCATATTCGTCCATCTTACCTTCCCATGCTAATTTTGGTTCACGCCAAGCGAAGAGGGTTGCCATCAGCGCACACTGACGTAAGCGGCTAGATAGATAGATAGATAGATAGATAGATAGATAGATAGATAGATAGATGGATAGATAGATAGATTGATAGATAGATAGATAGATAGATAGATAGATAGATAGATAGATAGATAGATAGATAGATAGATAGATAGATAGATAGATAGATAGATAGATAGATAGATAGATAGATAGATAGATACGCTCAAAGTCGCTGAAGTTCACTAAGAACTGCTTCGCGTTAAAAAAAAAACTTATTACGTAAGGTCACAGCGGGGCTCCAACCCTAGTCCGCTACGTGCCAGCCAAGTATTATACCACTGAGCCACGCAGGTGCTTTCGACTTGTTGGCAAACTTGCCTTAGGCAGGCTTGATGTCGGGAAAGCAATCGTGTTAATACGACCCATAAATCGTTTTAAAACAGCGAAAAAACAACAAGTCGTCGCATAATGCGAATAGCGTGACGAGTGGGTCGTGTAATTCTACAACCCATTAAAAAACTTGTTCACTGATTACCTGTGGCACATACCCGCTTCAGGTATAATTCTTTATCGTCGTCAGCCACAGCATGAACAGTTTGCACAAAATTCCTTGCAAGTGTTTAGCGGATACAACGCTACTCAGAAAAATGACGAAAAATAATATTGCGAATGCGGGTCAACTACCCAGTAATTCCTACTAATAAAGCCATAGTAGGTACCCAATAAGTGTGCTTGCAGCATTTACCCAATTAGTGTTCAGAAAAGGCTCTGAAAAGACACTCTTCTTGCTTTCGCTGTGACTCTGCTGTACTTTCCGCGCAGGCCTGGCGTTGCTTTTATGACACAATATCGGCTTCAAAGCGCGTATATGTTGTCAAGAAAACCTCTAAATGCTCCGGTAAAATAATGGGCATATTTTAAGTAGCAGTTCGAGGCACACTCAATCAACGTTTTACAGAACCCAGCTTAGTCACTGGAGTACAAGTGTAATGCTTTTAACATTCTCATAAAAATTGATAGCCAACTTTTAACCCTTTGTTTCAGCTAGCGAGTGTGGAAAGCCCGTCGCCACCTCGCAGCCCCCGAGAGTCCGAGTAAACGCTGTTCCCGAAGATGCGGAGCACGGTGCCTGGCCCTGGATGGCGGCATTGCACTTGAATGCGCCGTCGCCAACCACAAGTCACTTTTGCGATGGCGTCCTCATTGGAGAAAGTCACGTGCTTACAGCCGCGCACTGCATTGAGTAAGCAGCTTCCTAAATGAGCATTCTATCATGTTTATGTCTGTCTATGTTTCTTTTTTTTATTCACCAATGCTATGCTCTGCTCTCTCTTCCCCGTTCTCTTTTTCTCAATATTCAATCTCACGCCTTCACTTCTCTTTCCTAACCCCTTCCTAATACGACACTTTACAAGGCTCTCTTTTCTGCCGTTAGCATGCCTGGATAGCCGAGTGGTTAAGACTCTCCTCTTTGATCGTGAATGCACCTTCTCGAGAACCGCCGCTTCGTGAAAACTTTTTGCGAAGATTTTCTTTCTTTCGGTCTCTTTACGCCTCTTTTTCTCCACCTTTACCTCTTTTCATCACCCCTTGCATACGCAGGACACTATCGGTGGGAGGGATTTGGTATGAGAGCCGAATAATAATAATAGAAGCAAGACAGCACGTAGCGGAGCGTGATTGTGTATTTGCGCACGATCAGAGGCATTGTATGGCTAGCTAGAAACAGCATTGCTGTTGAAAAAAAATGATCTCGCCTATCCCACGCATTCTCGCAATCGTTTCAACGTGAGGCACTACAACAGTATATCAAGCCACATTTTTTCTTAAGTGAAGGTCTGCGATGTTTCCTCTACCCCAATTTTACGTTATGGGGCGGTGATGTGATATCATACGTAGCAGTCGTCAAAGTATACCCGATTCGTTTGACCGCACCTTTGGGAGCTATAGCAAATGCCAGATAACGCTGGTATAGGGCCTTTTTTCCGAAACAGTTTCAACCACTGGCGTCGTTCAGTGGTAGAATACGTCACTGCCAGGTGAGGTATCCTATGAAAGGATGACCTGACGTACACTGATAATCACCTGTAGCGCATACCCGCACCTGATTGGCCGTGATATGTGGGCATGTGCCGCACGTAGCCGGTAGAAAGGATGTTATGACGAACGCAACAGGGAGTCACGTTATCTATGTCACGACCTCAGAATCATGTTCGTCACATATTGCGGGCCTTCTATCCCATTTTTACTCTGTACGAGGCTAAGCAGACGACCACGATAGCGTGATGACGTGGGTGTTTAGCCCATGAAGGACCTCAAAAAGAAATACTGGTTAGATTTTATTGAGATGTTGCATATTTAAATGAATGCAGTAGACTAAACCCACGTGCAAGTTTTAATAGTTTGACGCAGTTTTGCAGAAGGTATGACACTGTTCTTTCGAAGGCACGCTGGGCCTTTGAGATAGCAATAGGCAATTTGGTGAGATGCGAGAATAGAGATTACGCTCAGCCCTTACCAAACAAACACCAAATTCATCTCGGCCAACATCGCTTATTGAAGCACCGGCGCTTTACGGCAGGCGTAACATCGTGATTTTTGCAACACTACTTAAATATACTGTAGCATGCCTGCATTGTTTACTAGGCTGTGAAATTGTGGTTATGGGTAGAGTGTAATTGAAAGCTAAGCGAATGCTAGAGACCGCTGATGCTTATGTTAGGTAAAACAACGCCAAACGAGCGTCTTCCCATTATGTGACGGAAGGTAGATAGTCAACACGGCGGGGGTCTGCGGAAACATACGGTGTAATAGAAGACCCCGTATGCATTGTGTGTTGCCATTTCTATCATCTAGGTAAACACTTCTTCTCAGGGACGACATACCAGTATTCAAAGCATTGTTGTGGAGCCCGGCTACTTCCATGTCATTGCTACAGTTTGTTGGGAGAGTTCGCAATGGCACTGTCTTCTTTCTTTTTTTTATAAATCAGTGGATAGCCTGCCTGGCTATAGAACATAGAAACTTTTGTGTTGTCATTCGGCAGCATAGCGACTATGCCTTGGCTTTTGGCTTTTATGAAACCAATTTGTTTAATGTAGCCATACAAAAGCTACACTCTCCATGTCCCGTTTCTTCCATATAGTTTATTGTTAGCAGAGAGCACTCTTCATATCGTCATCATTCCCCTGGTCTTCTTAAGTGTCTATATTAGTGTCACAAGCGACAATGAAAACCTCAATGGGCTCTGGCATAATCACAGCGGCATCTGTCAGAGCTTCATTGATCTCAGATAACCGAAACAACTTCAATCATTGAAGAAAATAGCTGGTTCAATCTCTAAGGCACATAAAATCATTATGTGTGTGATTGCTCCCGGGATGTCCCATTATACTAGAAACAGCACACCAAAATTTCATAACACCTCCTAGGAAACCCATAAACTCAATGCACATTTCACGATGTGTAGGAAATACAGTTCAGTCCAATCAGTTCACCGATGATCACGTTCTTCGCTGGTTGAAATCCAACTGCCGAAACAGTCAAATTATTGCAGGGCGTACGCATCACCGTCGAGATGAACTCCCTCGAAACCTAATTTAGCTGCAAGATGGCTAAACTATTGGAAGCGCAGTTCTCATTGGGTCACTGACGGGGTGTTTGTCTCCCCACACAGAGGCACCCTTCCTTCGACGATGGGTTCCCGCTCTTTTTTGAAGATTATTGTGACAAAATCACATAGAAATCATACAATTAGTACATGGGTGTGGGCCCGTGTGCTCAGATTTGTGTGCACGTTAAAGAACACCAGATGGTCAAAATTTCCGGACCCCTCCACTACGACATCTCTCATAATCATATGGTGGTTTTGGGACGTTAAACCCCACATATCAATCGAATAAATCAATTAGTGTATGGGGTATGAAGAAAAAACTACAATATACACTATTGTAGAGAAGATATGTGATACGAAAATAAAAAAAAGGCCCCGCATCTGCATGTAATATGCAAATGTCGTCTAAAGACGATAGTCTTGCTTGTGGAGATAGTGAACAAAACATTTATTAGCTGTTCTGCGCAAGAAAATTGGTGAAGGGTATTCCGAAGGCGCTGCGTTAGTGCCTCGAGCGTGCAGCGGAGGCGAACGAGCCTATCACGTTACATCACATGTGAGACATGAGCGCAATCTGGCAGTTTTTTTTTAAACAAAACGCGCCCGTCTCAGAGGTGATAAGGTGTATAACGCATGGCGATGGGTAGGTGCCACCACCATGTCGTCTTAGCAAAGCGTTGGAAACAATCACTGGTTCGTGCAAGCGTTGCATGGTGAGCACAGCGTGATTAACGCTACTATCCTTAAAATACCTATATATGCCTTTTCTAGTAAAAGACGCACATGCAGAATATATACGTGTTGTTATGGTGCCTCAGATATGGCAAATTATTGCTTTTAAAGACGATAGTCTTTCTTGGGGACCTTCGACGCAAAAATTTTGGTCTGTCTGTCTGTCTGTCTGTCTGTCTGTCTGTCTGTCTGTCTGTCTGTCTGTCTGTCTGTACATTTGTCTGTTTGTTCACTCTAAACGGCATCGGGTACTTGAAACGGCCGACCCCATCCAAGCGCCCACCAATGTTGCTCAAGGTTGAGCGTTCATGCTTGCGCAATTGTCAATTAAAAAGGTATTATTGAGCATGTCTTGGGCACCATAACAATGCGTATATATTCTGCATGTGCGTCTTTTATTAAAAAAGGCATACATAAGTAATTTTAAGGACCGTAGCGCAATCATGCTGCGCTGACCATGCAACGCTTGCACGAAACGAAGAGTGTTTACAACGCTTTGCCTAAAACGAGATGTTGGTGGCACCTACCTTCGCCTTGCGTTCTATACCTTATCACCTCGAAGATGGGCGCGCACACCCGTCTCAGAGCCACGTTCATTGTTTTCTGAGAAAACTGCCAGATGGCGCTCATGTCTCACGTGTGATGTGACTTGATGCGTTCGTTCACCTTCGCTGCACGCTCGAGGAACTCTAACGCAGTACCTCCAGAATACCACTCACCAATTTTCATGCGCAGAACATCAAATAAATGTCCCTTCACTCTCTCGACACGCAAGATTATCGTCTTTCGACTAAATTTGCAGAAACATTCAGATACGGGGCCAATTTTTAATTGACAATCGCTCAAGTACGAACGCTGAATCTTGAGCAACATTGGTGGGCGCTGCGGATGGTGTCAGCCGTTCGGAGTATCTGCTGGTGCTGTTTCGTGTACCCGGTTCGCGGAAAGGTTGGACAAACAGACAAGTGTACAGACAGGCAGACCAAAGTTTTCGCGTCGAATGCCCCTAATTAATACTATCGTCTTTAAAATGATACGTAAGGTTTAATGTCCCGAAACCGCCATATGACCATGAGAGACGCCAGCAAACAAAAAAAATTTACTTGCAGCTGGTTGTTTTCCAACGATATGAACTTTCTTCAGGCAAAACTCGGCGTGGATGAATTTGAGTACTAGCACTGTTATTTGAGTGATAACAACCGCCCTTAAAAGGACACAAAGGCAAAAATTATGTCATTGTTGACTGCTATAATACCAGTCCATAAACCTCGTAATGCTACTTCTGTGCCAATAGAGAGCTTATTTTGAAATATTCGCGTTTTAGTGGTGCGCACTATGGTAGCACGCTTCAAATTCCTCGCATAATAGTGGCCACCTCACGTTACTGTTGCCGTGCATAACGTAACCCGGCTTTATCACCCGGCCATCGCCACTATAGTAACAGCAGGGCGAAAGTAGCGAGACCCACAGTAGCAACAACACCAATTGCACAACTTTATGTCATGGTCTCCGAGATGGCAGGCGTGTTTTATTCAACTGGACCCCGCTAGCGGACACGACCTGTCTAATTTAACCAGGCGAAAATTGAACTTTTGAACCACCCGCGTCATTACCCATAGCAACGTCCCGAGGTCTTTTTTCCATGACTGAAACAGATACGTACAAGTCGCATTCTACTAAGTCTTTGAATGCACGGAACATTTTTAATTTAGTGCAGCTTGATACGTAGAATAAGTAGGGCACCGCTGTTGATAATATTGTCATTTTAGACATTGTCATATTAAGCTTTCATTCTGACACAAATAGTTATTTCACTTTATTGACCCTTTAAAAATCTTGTTCCACGAAACTTCCGGCATCGGTGTCGGTGCCGTTGGTTGCGAGCGAAAAAAATTGGTTACAAATCTGCATGTTACACCGCAAATGTAGTCGAAAGACGATAGTCTTGCGTCAAGAGAGAGTGAAGAAAACGTTTATTTGATGTTCTTGCAAGAAAATCGGTGAAGCGTATTGTGGAGGCGCTGCGTTAGAGTGCCTTGAGCGTGTAGCGGAGGCGAACGAGCTCATCGAGGCACGTTAGACACAAGCGCCATCTGGCAGTTATCTTCGAAAACGAAGGCGTGCAGCCCGAGGAGAAAGATGCGCGCCAGTCTCGGAGGTGATAAGGTGTAGAACGCAAAGCGACAGGCAACAAGGAGAAGTTTATTGACTTCCAACCAAGGGTAAAGTACATGACAAAAACATCGAGCTTCACGACTACAAAGGGTGCATGTACAGTCAGGAAAGCACCACTACCGAGGTACAATGTATGTGTGGGAACGTACCCCTCTATTTACTGTACAGCGCGTGGTGCTCCAGCAGGCTTAATCATGCACGGTGGTAGGTCTTCTCAACACGCGGTTGGAACAAGTAGCGACTTAGCGCTGTACAACTCTAGGTATTATAGGCGCCACCAACTTGAAGCCGTAGCAAAGCGCTGGAAACAACTTTTTGAGCGTCGCGTTGTACTGTCAGCGCAGCGCGCTAAAACGCTACATTTCTTAGAGTTAATTGCGTGTGCCTCTTCTAGTATAAAGTCAGATATACAAAACTTCGAAGTGTTGTTATGGGACCTCATAAGTGCGCAACAATTGCTTTTTCATTGACAATCGGACAACTATGAATGCTAAACCTTGAGCGATATTGGTGGGCGCTGCGAATAGGGTTGACCGTTCTGTGCCGTTTGAGGTATCGTTAGGGCAGACAAACAGACAAATGTGCAGACAGACAGAGAGACAGACAGACAGACAGACAGACAGACAGACAGACAGACAGACAGTCCAAAATTTTTCCGTCGAAGGAGTCTTTAAAAAACTCCAGGCCTGCGCGGAAGTCATAGTCATAGCGAAAAGTAGAAGAGCGGTCTGTCGGAGAATTTTCAAAACACTCATTGTGTTACTACTGCAAGCACACTTGCTTGATACCCACTAGGGCATTAATATTAATTTTTGGGGGTAGTAGGGCGGCATTCTTTATGCTATTTTTCTCCGTTCTTCTGAGAAGCGTGGTGTCCGCTTAACACTTCCTAGGAAGTTTGTGCCAATTGTTCATGCAGTAGCTCCCGACGATGAGAAGTTATGGCTGCAGTGGTATGCACCACATTGAATGGGTGAACAAGAACAAGCTTTCGTAATGTGTTGCAGCATTGGATGGCCCACACGTTAGGCTATTCGCGTTGTGCGACGACTGCTTGTTTTTACTCTGTTTTTAAACTGTTTATAAGTCGTATTAACGCGATTGCTTTCCCGACATCAAGCCAGCCTAAGCAAGTTTGCTAACAAGTCCCAAGCACAGCCGTAGCTCAGTGGTACAATACAGGGCCAGCACCCAGGGAATCCGGGTTCCAGCCCCTTTGTGTCACTGGTGCTAGGTTTTTTTTTTTCTAAATTCGCGCGATGTGGTTACGGACGCCGGTGGTCGCGGCGGCGGACAACTGCACGTGACCCGAGTGTGATCTCAAAACTTCTTTTGCTGTATAATCAACATCTTTAAGCACCTTTTCGTGGCCAAAACTATCAATAGACATGGGAATGAAATAAATAATGAGAATTTCTGCGTCTGAGGGGGGATTGAACCCGGTTCGTTTACGTTTCCAGGAGGTGTTCTACCACAGAGTCACGCCTCTGCCTGTGAATGCATTGGAAATAACTTCCTCTGCTAGGAAATACAGCGAAAGTAGCTGATGCTTTACAAACACGTTATGCATATGAGCCTCACAACACAACATGAAATATTGCCGTAATAAATCGTGGTTCATGCGTAAGTTTCCATCGGGCAATACAAGGAAAGGTTATCATAATAACTTTGTTATTTAAAGCTAGTCGCCAAATATAAAAGGCACACACGCTAGTGTACTCTTATGGTCACGTAGCATAGCAAGTTTGAAAAGTTTTCATGCACTGAGTGTTTGAAGTACGCCCAGAATAGAACAGAATACCCCTATCGCGTGGAAGTACGAAAGGCGAAGCTTAAGGGTCCCCAAATTTTTTATGCTTGTTTCGTAGATTTCTTCAACAAAATGAATGCTGATTGAAATAATATTGTACGTTTAGATGCAAAAAAAAATATGGCGTTTGCCTTCGATTGGCAATATGCTCCTAAAACACCGAGGGTGAAAGTTTAATTGAAGCGTTTCAGTCGAGGACGTGTGTACAGTGATCACATGTCAACTTGTTCACTTCACGGAATGTCTTTCTTCAGTGCCCCAGGTGGAAACATATATAGTGCGCGCATGTGCTCACAGATGAGCAAGTGAGCACGAGTGTCTGTTGGTACTTAAGATCCTAGTATTTTTTTTCACTTCTTTCCCATAGAGGAGAAACTGTTGCGGCGTTGAGCTATCCAGGTTTGCTAAAAAAACTGTGCGCCGAGTGCCGATGCCACTTTGTATACGTAGAATGTTTATGCTAGAGCAACCGTTCAAGCGTTCCGGCTATTAGAAATTACACGGCATCAAACATTCATTTTCTCTTGCCAATATGGCTTTGACCAATACGACGAGGAAGCACATAAAATGAATGCATTCGCAGAGAGTTCACTCGCCAAGGCTGACGGTGCGACATGTGTCCTGTGCAGTGTGAATAAATAGGCGAAAAGCGCTTGTTTTCGACAGCTGCCCTTCTACTTAGGACTCAAGAAAACAGCCGACACTGAAGTGTCACTCTCACTCGCCCGCACAGTCACTTGTCATGGCATCAAAAACGTGATGTTTGCTCAGCATCCTATTATGATTTCAGAACTTCCGTCTTTCCCGTCACTGCTTGCCATGGTAATCAATTACTTCAAAAAGATCTCCTGAATTTATCAAATACACGCAAAAACAAATCAGTGACTAATATAAATTTTCGGAAGCACTTTTGAATAAATACAATAGAAATTTGTATTTGCCAGGGTAAAAGCTTTTTATTATGCATTATACAGAATTTAAAACAAAAAACATAAATTTCAGGGTTAGCGGCGGTGATGGCAGAGTCATAGTGTGGTAAGTCATATTTGTCTTCGAGTAGGTATATTGACAACTTACTAACGCGATTGCGACTATATAAGGCCACTCACCTGTTAATATTGTGACTGAAGGTGAATCCAAGTAATGGTGTCGTGTAAAGGCGTTATTGGAAGTCTCTTTTGCAGTGCCAAGCTTTCCAGTGAAGTTCGAGTCCATCTTGGTTCCCTTTTCACAAACTTGAGGCTGCCCGGAGAGCAAGTCATCGAGGCAGAGGAGATATGCGTTCACAAGAGCTTCCGCAGTGGACAGGAAATGGTGCTCGCTGAAAGTGTTTCTGTGACACGCTCAGATAAGTGCGCATGAACAAGAAGCCTGTGGTGAAACAAGTGTGTGGAATCCTTTATTATATTATGAGGCATTTATGAACGGCTTCAGACACGTGATAACTTATACTTCACATATTGCAACCTCACTGCGGGTTCTAGTTTTGCACAGTAATACGATTTGCAACAACGAACCAGCTCTTTTGTCTTAAAAGTAAATAAAATAGCGATGAAGCCGCAAGAATACATAACATGAATACAAGAATAAATACAATACAAGAATACATGAATAAGATAGCAAAAATGGGACCGCAAGAAGATAAAGAAGGTGTTTGTGAATAGGCGTGGGTCGGTAATTTTATTGGCACTGGAGTCTAAGTGGAATATTACAAGCTGTGCAAATTTTCGCATGATTTAATGTAGGTAAACTGATTGGTAAGTGATTTCCTCAAGACAATCATATTTCAGAGAAAGCTTTCTTCTTTTTTTTTGCTTCTTGAACGTTACTGGCCTTTGAAGAAAAAGGAGCAATGACTCTGCTTAGTAGGAGTAATTCTCAAACGGCCTTGTGCGCTTGCAACACCTATTCTTCGAAATCTGCCTTCAGATATATGGAGCGTGCCAGTGTTTACTGTCAGTGACAGGAAAACGCCCTTGTCTTCTTTTTTCTTAAGTAGCCTCAGAAGGGGCAGGATGGGGGCTGAATTCTGCTACAGTGGCACCTTTTCCTGCAAGTAAATGCCTGCCACCCAAGCACAAGAACAATTTCCCTCCATGACCCTTAAATGCGAATCACGGAAGCCACCCAATGGCGATTTTCATTTCTTTTTTTCCCATTGTTGTTTTTCTTTTTTTATTCCTTTAGTTTGTTCATTCAGATTTCGTTGGCTCCTTCATTCTTTGCTCTAATACTTGGTACGTGCGCCACTCTGAACGATACCTCCTTCACCCTTCTCTCTTTTGCTTACTCAAGCGAATAAAATGAGAACTGTCTGGTGCAGTATACGTGACCAATGTAAAGTTCAGAAATCTCTTCCATTTGTTTCTTCAACCAGCATGCCGATTCATGAAGATCGAATAGTGTCGCGCTTGTTCGTAAGCCCTGACAAAGAGCAGTTCACTGGTCAAAACCATTGGTCAATATCAGATCAAATCTAACCAAAGTTTTTTTTTTTTGCATAGTGTTGTTACAGTGTGAAGGATATACAAAAAAAAAAGGTCCTGTGGTCAGAGGACCATGAAAGTACTCTTTGTTCAGAATGGTCAGATACAAAATCCAAAATATGCACAAAAATATAAAAATAGCTAAGTCATCAAAAGAAAACACGCGCACACACAAGGCTGCAAACGATACGCAAAAGGACTACTGCGATAATATGTAACACAAGAGAGGTAGTGCATAGAACTGTTTTTCATTTGTAAAATACTGGAATGAAGAATTACAAGTTCATTCTGACAATGAAATAATGCAGAAAAGGCCATCATAATTAGTGACAGTGCAATCAAGTAATATTTCTATGTGACTAAAATGAAAAATAAAAAAGCGCTAAAGGTACAGAGTACACGTTATTAATTATTGGCTCAATAAATAAGCTTTACGTGTTTTTTAAGCAGTAAGAGATAACAATGTTTTGATGAGGTGAAGGAGAGAATTCCGCACTTGGATAGCATTGAATGATGCTAATAATGCTGCCATTTTGTCGTAATTAGTACATGCCTTCAGCAGCAAGATGTTATGTTCTGAGCAAATCGAGTGTGGTTATTAGTCTTCAAGGAATGCAAGGGAACAAACTCATGGGTGAGATCCTGATTGAGTAACCTGAAGAACATGGTGATTAGGTGGATTGCAAATAAATAGTTAGTTGCGAGCACATTATTTTGCTTGCGTTTGGTATAATTGTTATTGCGTATAATGTTTGAAATAATTTGCAGTGCCTGGTGTTTTATATGTTCTATAGATGAGAAGTGGCACTGATACGTGTAGCCAGAGGCAGCATGGCCGTAATTAATATGGCTATGAATGAATGCATAATAAATTGAAAATAGAACAGAAGTGGAGAGGCAGTGTTTACCTTTTATTAGTAATCTTGAGGACAAAGAACTTTTTAAGCTTGAGAATTATGTTTGTGAAATGTCAATTGTTCAATGAGATAAACACCAAGAAATGAAATACGCTCACCAGGAGAAATGAAGGGAGAATTAATGATTGCCTGATGACAAAACTGTAGTCGTCTTTGAGGAGAACATAAAACTATGTTAAGGATACATACGAGTTGGAAGCAGTTGTATCATCCGCATATAACATGCATGCATTATGAGGGTGTAGCGGGTTGGAGAAAGTCATTAGTATAGAGAAATAATGTTTATGGTCTCAAGATTGAACCTTGCGGAACCCTTGATCAATCATTTTAGTGTTTGAAAATTAACCGGATAAATAAACTGTTAGCTTTCTGTCACACAAATAGTTTCCCGAAAAGGTCAACGCTGGGCCTGTTATTCAACAGGCTTCTACTTTCTTTAGTAACGTACCATAAAAAATTGTATCAAAAGCCTTAACAAAGTCAAAGAATACACAAGCAATAAATTGTTCATTGTGAGTGCATTGTTTAATGTAGTCTGTTAGTGAAATTACTGCCAAGTCAGGTGAACGAAAAGCGGAAACTGAAGTGGCAGTGGTTCAAGAAAATAAATTTTTAGGTAAGCATTCAGGTGGCTAACAAACAGTTTCTTAATTATTTTGATCACGAAGGATAAAATAGAAAATAGGTCGATAATTAAAAATATGTGCCTATTACCTTTGATATATATATATATACAAATATATATATATATATATATATATATATATATATATATATATATATATATATATATATATATATATATATATATAATATATATATATATATATATATATATATATCGCGTTACTGTAATGAATAAAGGTTACTAGAACGTTTTGTTGAGCACGCTAGACCACTTTGTTAAACAAATTCATATTTTTGACTGATACCTAAATATGTAACTGTTAGAATATAGCAGCCACGCCGCGGTGGTCTAGTGGCTAAGGTACTCCGCTACTGACCCGCAGGTCGAGGGATCGCATTCCGGCTGCGGCGACCGCATTTCTGATGGAGGCAGACATGTTGTAGGCCCCTGTGCTCAGATTATGTTGCACGTTAAAGAACCACAAGTGGTCGAAATTTCGGGAGCCCTCCACCACGGCGTCTCTCATAATTATATGGTGATTTTGGGACGTTAAACCCCGCATACCCATTTATCTTAGGATATAGCAATTGAGCAGAGTATGCGGACAGGAAAGTGCCCTACGATAAGTATAGACAAGTGCATTAGGTATGCCAGTAGCCACAATAGCCTAAGTTGCAATATATTTGCAGTCCTTGGGCCACCTTGCCTAAAAAACGATTTATAAAGACACACATACTTCGTACCATAGCTTGTGAAGTAGGTAGGCAACATCCCACCAGTTGACACTTATTCCTATTGTAGTTTCTCTGGAAACGTGTATACTTATACGCTTTCTTGTCCAACAGAGGGCCAACACTCAAAACTTTCAAAATGTTTCAGATTGAAATAAAAAGTGCCAGTGGATTTCTGTGTGACTTAATCACGACCCAATTCTCTGTCTGATTGAACGTTGCAGTACGACATAGGTGTGATCAAGCTGAAAGAACCTGCTAACTTCAGTCGCACGGTGCAACCAATATGCTTGCCTGAAACGTACGCAGAGTTACCAGACAACACGCAGCTCTACGCAGCCGGATGGGGCAGTGGCAAAGAATGTGAGTTTGATATAAATATTGCTTTGTTTCAGGAACTGCCACACATCAATGCATAGTGTGTAGCGCATATGATACATGATGGGATAATAGTAATACTACTGTATTACGTATACGAATGCATTTTTTTTACTTTGAGTTTCATGCGCGACAATGAATACTTGCCATTGTACCAGAAAACCAACTTTCTTCATGCATAAATGCAATCTTTACATAAAATGCATAAAATGCACCCGTAATATTCAGAAAATTCACGCATAATGCAAAGATTGCCATCATTGCTTCAAGACATGTATTCCGCTTTTGAAATGTAGGCTGTCGTTGTTATTTTACAGATAGCGTTTACGGATTCTGGTATTTAGTCTAAAAAAGCGTCGAAACAATTTTATATATGTGTAAAATTAGTTCTGCCAACATGGGACATAGGTGTATATGAAAAAAAAAGCTTTATAGTATCTTATGAATGAAAGAAATCACAAAGCAACTGGATATATTTTATTTAACTTCAATCGCCAAACATAATCGCCGCTTCGATTGACTGCCGCTGCCAACCAAAAGTTGCCAGATATGCGCCTCACACAGACATTGCAGAAACCTCATAAAATGCCCTCCGAACAATGGTTGAGATCTGAAACAAACCCAGTACCCTAGTTAACTACTTCCATGTCACAGGCAGATGAAACATGTCATGATCAAAAAGGCTCTTCAAGGTGAACACAAATTTTTAAACAATAGTTTAATAACTGAATTCCATGTGGCACTACTTTCGAATGGCTATGTTCATGACTATATAGTGGTTTTAAGATGTTAACATGCCAAAATTATTCAATCAATTACTTTTTTTAGAGCTGTCATTGTTGCTTGACTCACTGGCTGTTCGATTCAAGGAATCTTTATTGATGCATGTGAGCACCCAGGGCTCTATCTTTACAATCGAATTTTCTACGTCATCCAGACTTTGTGCAAAAGTATTTGCTTCTATTTACTGTTAAGTATTCAAGTGGAATTCAAATAACAAGAAAGAACAGCAATGAAGTGGAATCCTAATTATTAACGCAGGCGAAAACTGTTCCATGGCAAAAACGCTACAGCAGATGACCACAACTTCAATTGAAAATAGCCGCTGCTTGGATTACTTCAACAAAACCGCCGACCCGTCCATAGTGTGTACCTACGTGAAGGAGGTCCCATCAATTTTTGTAAGTCCTTTGCTTATTTACACTTTATAGTGGAGCTGTTCTGCTTTTCATTATATCGTTAATTGTAAGTAAAGGACCGTTACCACCACAACCACCACCAACATCATCATGAATGACGTCTACAGTTAAACCGTGCACAACCTAATAGCGGGCCCATTGCACAAATTTTCCGCCTTGTCACCAATTTCCTGTTTCATTTCTTGAACGTGTGCTCCCAGCGCGCGCACTCCCGTTGCTGCTGCAACTAGGAAGAGTGAGAGAATGATAAAGAGAAAGACAGATAAAAAGAAAGAGAATTAGAGAAACTATTGGTGAAAAGAAGCTTCTTCACGAAGTGATATACAATGTCGCGGAACCAAGCGAGCGTCGCAACCACTGTGCACTCTAGGCAACCTATCAGAAAAAGATGTCACCTTGTATGGTGCAGTACAGAAAGAGGGAGGTTAAGGGAAAAAGGTTAAGAAGAAGGGTAGGGACCGGGGGAGGAAATAAAATCATAGTATAAGAATAGAGAAAAGTGTTCCAGCTATATTTATGGAAAAACGGGGTATTACTGAACATGATGGTCCTAAAAAAGTACCTTCTTTGTGATTATTTAAAGTTGGTCAGCGTGCATGGCATCTACCTTTGTAAGACTAATCTTACGTTTGTAAGACTTACGTTTGTAATCTTCGATCGTATTAGGGATCAAGAGGAAGTCTTAACTAAGCTACTTTTTTTGCAGACACACACATCAACGCTGTATGCTTGTGTTTTCGTAAAAATGTTTCTAAAAAGTTGGTGACTGTACCATTTTCTACAACATTGACGTTTTTCTTTAAAACTTCGAGATAACTGCTTCTCTTGTTGAAGTATTTATTAGCATAACTTATATACTTGGTAAATTTAGGTGTCAGAGGAAGTAGAGGCTTTACTTGCGAACGTGACAATTTAGTAAACGTTACTACCCCAATCAGCTGCCAAATTTTGTGCCCTAAATGTTACTAGAGCTGTGCATGGGCTAAATGTATAGTCCGGTCCTGGCCCGCTGACTGCATTGAAGGCCAGCCTGAACACGCCGCTGAAAGGTTGTGAGAATGCCCGGGCCATCCTGGTCTGGCCCAAGGTTATGAAGGTTTGCTGCGGAGAAAAAAGCCGTTTTTTAACAGTTTGGCATATTTTGGAACATTTCAAAGTGAAACAAAAAAACATACTTGACAGCCACTATATGCAACGATTACACGTTTTGTGGAAATGAGCTGTCCAGTAGTTCGGGTTTCAGTGAAGTGCGGTGCTGCTCCGTTACACATCCAGCCCAAAGAACGTCCGTTCGCGGCTCACACTGGTGGCTGTATTTGCCAGTATCTCTTTCGCAACCATAACAAGCTTGAATATTTTAGACTAATAGTTATTTCTGAAGTTTAGTATAGCTCAGAGAAGAAGAAGGTAATCATTGGATTCTGACAAGTTTATGCAAATATTTAGGAAATTATACCGCGCGTGTTTTCCGAATAAATATATAAGACGGACAAAAATTGTCACAAACCTTGGGTAGATAAGCGCTTGCTAAAGCTCATAAAGAAGAGGGAAATGTTGTACAGTTCATGCATGCAAAATAAATGAACGGAGGCATTAAAAACATTTCAACAATATAGGAACTACCTGACGAAACAACTAAGGGATGCTAAGACGCACCATCATTTCTGTTCAACTTAGCAGCAGGATGCTCTGTTAAAATTTGGAGAACACTCACTTCAATAACTGGGACTGCACGTGAAAGAACTACGACAGTCCTAAAAGAAGGAATTGAACGAAAAGGGTTTGATCTAGCTAAAGCGTTTAATAACTTTTTTGTCCTTCGGTAAGGCATATGATGATATCAACCACTCGTACATGAGCCCACTCAATTGTCAGTCGTTACACCTGTGGAGGGTTTTAACGTGACAAGTTATTTCTTCATTCTTATTATTAAGTGACAGTAGAGCCTTCGATGCATTAGGTAATCAAATGGCACCGGTGAAATTTGTCATATACATACTTGCATCTTGACTTGAGTAAAATTGCAAACTTTGTGGTGTTTTCTCTCAAAGCACGCGGACTGCAAAGGTCACAGTAACATTAAAAAAATGACAAGAATTATCTTTAAAATTACCGCCTCGTATCAGTGCTGCCTGTTTTCTCGAAAGGTTAAGAGAAGGTGACATTGGAGCGGTTTCGTTCGTTAACTGACCACTTTAATACCATAGCTCCTCCACAATGCGGTTTTTGTCAAAATGGGTCAACTAAATTGGCTTCTAAGACCAACAAAAGTTTCTATTGCAAATATTTGAGGAAAAAAATGGTGCTTGGTATTTTTCTCTAATATTCAAAGGCCTTTGGCCATATAAGCCATAATGTTTTGCTTAAAAAGCTTTATCACAATGGTATTCGGGTCGTAGCTTGTTCTTCAATTCAATCCCACCTTCAACAAAGATACCAAACTGTAGCTATAGCTGGGCATCATTCAGAGTGTAACTCTGTAACAACAGACGTCACTGTGGGGAGCATATTAGGATCGTACCTCTTCATAATGTACATCAATGACATAGAAAGTGTTGCCAGCGGCAAAGTGCGTAATTTACGCAGACGATGCAAGGATGCTTTTTGAGGTTGACTTAGGTTCTGATAGGTCCAATCGAGCCAATAATGCGCTTGCTAGTATACACAATCGAGCAATGAGTAATTATCCTAAAATTATTCTGGGAAAAAATAAGGCATAAATGATTCATCCGCGTAATAAACAATTCCAACTAAGCTGGTATAAATAAACAATACTGAAATAGAAATACTGCCTTCTTTCGAATCACTTGACATATGTTGCGCTGAAACTAATTCATGGGATCATTACTAAGTGAATCACATAGTGAGTAAATAATATCTAGCATTGAGTACTATGTATTGCCATTGCAGTTATCTTCCTACATTCATTACCAGTATTTTATTTAATTGAATGTTTCTTTCTTTGGTTCAGTAAGAAATTCTTGTTTAGGGGATCACTACAAACAAAAAGATTCTATGATTCGTGGTACTGCAAAAAAGAGCCATACGCCTTATTTACAGAGAGCCATATCTTTGGCATATATGGTGCTCCTTTTTTCATTACGCTTAGTACCATAAAAATTGAATCTTTGTACACATATAGGCTTTGTCGCATTTATAGACTGAGGAAAATTTAGAAAGATGAGTCTCTATTACAACTGGCATCCTTACAGCAGCATAATTATCTTTATAATTTTTGTCAACTAGAACATTGGATTGCCAACAAGAACAGAGCTGTATACTGTGACCAAACGCTGAAGTTTCGTTTACCGACTATTTGAAGTCGGTTACACAAAGAAAATGGTCTCACTGTATCTACTCTGTCATTAAAAAGGCTACGTGACATATTTGTATGATTGCTTGAGCTGCCATAGGCTCATCTGTTGTTTTTGTTTATGTGCTGTCTTCAGCACTACGGGTGTTTTTTTTCTTCACTTTTAAAGTATGTTTAAATGATTTTTAAATGATTTTAAACCGATGTAACTTCTCAGTGTGAGAGGTGGCCAGGTTTTAATCAAGCCGCCAAGTGAAGATTTTTCGTCTGGTCTTCTCGCAACTTTGTTCCGCAATAAATTCAATTCAATTCAATTATTCTCTGTGAAGATTGTCGCAAAGCTCATTTTGCGTGTATATCCCTTTGTACGTGCATTTAGAATACTTCAAGAAAACAAGAACAGAAAAATGGTTGGCATGCGGCCCCGGAGGTTGTTAGGAGGCAATCAGATTTGTCACAACGCCTGTATCTTGAGCTTGACTTCGGCTTTGCATATGGCACGGCCCGCTTAACCTAAAACAAAGCATAGACTGAGTCCAGCCCGTGCCCGAAATGAAAAGACGTCGGCCTGCCCAAACCCGGCTCGCTGGCCGAGCCGGGCTTGAGCTTTTGGGCTGCCTGAAACCTGTGTGCGTCTTTAATTTTCACAAAGTTATAAAAATCTAACCCAACTCTAATTTTCCTAATTATGTAAAATAACAGTTTTATGTTAAGTTATGGTGCCATAACATCTGCAAGAAGTAAGGTATAAAAATGTAGTTACAAAAAAATAAACGAGATTAAGTATAATGTCATGGTTATGTCGCGTGTACACCGTGTTGAGGAACACTGTAGGACTGTGTATTTACTTTTGGTTAATGTTAGAGCGAGTGTCATCTCGTGGCCTAGTTATACTGGGGCGTGGCTATACCTTTGTGCGTCTGTATTGAGTATTAACTGATGATGTTGTAGTGGTGTGGATTTAGCAAATGGTAACTGTTATATACTAACTGGGTCATTACTACCTTCAGTTACTACATATATAGTAAATATTACGAAAAGCACTAGCAAATTGAACTTCATAAGTGCAAGTACTTTTTTAAATGTTGCCCATACATTCCCAGGTGGCGAATACTGGCCCACTTCAGTCCCTATTTAAACATCAACAGACAAGGGTGATATGAAAAACAATGAACACGGCAGAGAAGGTTGAGTGCACCAATAGTCTCGCGTAGTTAAAAACAAAATGTTACGGGTGACTTATTTAATAAATTAAATACGATGCACCGTGCTCGGCGAACAAGATGGCGACAGTTCATCAGCAACCAGCCAACAACGTCGTCTTTCTCTTTCTTGCAGACAGGCTGTGCCGGCTGTTGCGTATCATAACCCCCCGGTGGTAGAAGCACCGTCTTGGTGCTTGAGCAACTCGGATGCGGTAGAAGGAGGGTGATAAGGCTTGAGTCGAGCTATGTGCACGATGTCACTCGAAGTTGACAATGATGACGTTGAATCGGCTGGAACGATCTCGTATGTAACGTCAGTCACCTGGCGAATGACGCGGTATGGTCCAGTGTAGCGTGACAGCAGTTTTTCGGAAAGCCCTACACGCCGAGTGGGGGACCAGAGGAGGACAAGGGAACCCGGTGAAAAGTGCACGTTTCGACGATGGGAATCGTAGAGCTGTTTTTGGTGCTCCTCTGAAGCCTGCAGGCGGCTGTGGGCGAGTTTGCGTGTGTGGTTGGCTCGCGCGATGGCTTCGCCGGCATACTCAGTGACCGAGGGCAGCAAGGTGTCAAATGGTAGGGCGGGTTCTCGGCCGTATAGAAGATAGAATGGTGAATAGCCGGCAGTGTCGTGACGCGACGAATTATATGCGAACGTCACAAATGGCAAATGAACGTCCCAGTCCTGGTGGTCGGCCGCTACGTATTTAGAAAGCATGTCGGTTATGGTGCGGTTAATGCGCTCCGTAAGACCGTTCGTTTGCGGATGGTACGAAGTGGCAAACTTGTGCTTGGCAGAGCAAGAGTGCAGGAGTTCATCTACGACAGCTGATAGGAAGGTCCGGCTCTGGTCAGTGAGAAGTTGGCGTGGAGCTCCATGTACTAAAATAATATCATATACCAGAAAGTCCGCCGCATCGGTTGCGCAACTCGTCGGAAGTGCTTGTGTGATAGCGTACCGTGTCGCATAGCCAGTGGCGACAGCAATTCACTTGTTGCCTGAGCTGGGGATCAGGAATGGGCCAAGCAGGTCGAGGCCAACTCGAAAAAAAGGTTCAATGGGAATGTCGATCGGCTGAAGGAATCCAGCTGGTAGGGAAGATAGCTTTTTGCGGTGCTGGGAGGGCTCACAAGCGGCGACGTAGCGTCGAACAGAGCGGGCAAGACCAGGCCAAAAGAAACGACGACGTACACGGTCGTATGTGCGAGAGAAGCCCAAGTGGCCCGCCAAAGCAGCGTCATGAAGTTAATTGAGAACAGTCGCACGAAGATGTGCTGGTATGACGGGGAGCAACTCATGGCCATATGGATCGAGGATAGAAAATTGCCCTCATGAAGTAATTCTAGGCATGGATTTTCTAACCACTCACTCGGCCCTTATAGATTGTTCAGCCGGCTGTCTTGACCTTGAAATGCCTCTACTTTCTGATCTGACCTACCCACCCCAAAATCGCCTTTGCTGCATTGATTTCGCACGCCTTCCGCATAACTGTGTCACGCATAACGACCTCTTCTCTACACCACCTGTACCTGACGGCGATTACATGGTCGCACCAATTCATGCCGTGATGTTTACGCATGGCGTCGCTGTTCCGCACACCATTTTGACAATCGTTGAAAACCGCACATGCCTTCCTATTGTCAATTTCGCCCTCACGGCCCAAATTCTTCCACAAGGTATCTCCCTGGCCGAAATTATTGCTCTACAAGACCATACTGTTGAACCCTTCAGAGTGGATGATTGCTGCACCTCAGACAATGAACCAACTCTATCACGTTCATCGGGCGTCGACGTTGACCACATGGTACCATCAGACCTCGCTCCTGATCAAGCGGAAGCCCTTCATCACGTCCTGGAGTCCTATAGTGACATTTTCGACTTCGCCAGCACGGCTTTAAGCCGAACGAGTGTTGTTACTCATCGCATCAATACTGGTGACGCGAGTTCCATTCACCGACGTCCATACCGTGTTTCCGCGTCCGAGCGCACAGTCATACAACGGGAAGTCGAAAAGATGCTTGCAAAAGACATAATCGAACCCTCTTGTAGACCCTGGGCTTCTCCTGTTGTCCTGATCAGAAAGAAAGATGGAACATGGCGCTTTTGTGTAGATTATAGGCATCTCAACAAAATTACGAAGACAGATGTTTATCCGTTGCCTAGAATCGACGATGCCTTAGACTGCCTTTACGGTGCTACGTGTTTTTCTACTATCGACCTTCGATCTGGCTATTGCAGATCACTGTGGATGAGATGGACCGTGAGAAGACCGCATTCGTCACTCTTGACGGGCTTTATCACTTCAAAGTTATGCTTCAAAACAGACAGTGTAGTCCGGACAGCGCCAATCGTGTGAATATGCATAAAGAATTTAAGTACAAAAAAAACTTCATCGTCCGGAGTTCCTCACGCTGAATAAACAATGAGACAGGCGTCTTTACGATTAGACGCTACTACAGCTTCGTTCTCTGTCCGCGCTGTATGAATATTACTGTGCAACAGTGTGTTTTTGAACAGCGAAGTAGTTTAGGCTCATTGTCATACCCGTCAACTGGTAACCATCGAGGAATACTTGGCGGCACAACATCCTTGCTTTCTCTGCTTCATCAACTACACATTCCCAGAAGGGAGAGAGAGAAATAAAGAGAGAGAAATGAAAACAGAGCGAGCGAGATGCTCTAAGAGAAAGGTTTTCTGTAAAGTTAGATTCGAACTTTCCTGGCCACTATCTCAAAAAGACCTCCATAACAAGTAGGCTATTCAGGTACACTACGAAGGCATATAGTGTAGCCTTGTATCCTATAGCACACCAAGTCGGGTGCCAAAAAGAAGTGAATTTTAGGACATATATGAGAAAGAGAAAAAAGGAAAGAAGGAGAGAGAGAACATAGAGGGAGCGAAAGGCAAGAAGTCCAAAAAGAAGAGAAAAAGAGACAATTCAAGAAATAGAAAAAATAAACAGAGAGAGCAAGTGATGAAAAAACAGAAGAGAGCAATATAAAAATATATTCAAAGAAAAGAAAGACCTATAAGGAATTCGAGAGACCAAAATAGAGAGAGAGAAGTTGAGAGAGATGAATCAATCAAAATAAACACAATAATATGTGGACAAAATAGACCAAAGATGAAGGATAGAAAAATTGCATAAAATTTAAAAAACAGCAGCAGTCAAGCACCCTGTGTGCCCATCAGCTACACTGTCTAGCAGTATTGTACCTCTAGTGCAAGCTACAGTAAGTTTTGCATTATTTCACTTAACGTACAAAAATAGACACTAGTCTTTCGTTGTTTATAGGCGTGCAGTGCTTTACTACGGAGAGACCGGAAAATAAAACACGTGGAACATCAGCACGCAGGCCATTACATTGTTTTAATGCATGTGTGGTTTCATTAAACATAGACTCTTCTCCCATTATCCCTTATTATCAGGGTTACGAAACCAGGCAAAGACATTTTTTTCACGATAACTACTTTACTTCCACGAAATAACTGCTTTAAATACTCATTTTACACTGGAACTTTTGTTGATTGGAATAACTTCCCCAACAATATTGCAACACAATTCTCGCTTACCTTGTTTGAAAAATATTTGCAGTATTTCGTTAGCCCCATTTAATATACTTGTTTTTATTGTACGTTCCAATTATTTGCATTATCTTGTTCAATTTGATAAACTTTCTCCTTAGAATTACATACATTTTGTTTTTATTGAGCTTGTTATTGTACTCTTGCCTTTTACAGTTACAATTTGATGCTAAATTTCGTTGTGTTCTTCTTTATATTCTTAACCTTATTTTTTTATCTGTTTGCATTGTATTTTTTACTTATTGTGTTTTCTTTGAAAACTATTGTGCCTTTTTTATAGCATGTATCAATGTATAACACCTGCTATAGTCTCTGCTTGAGACTGCAGTATTATTAAATAAATAAATAAATAAATAAATAAATAAATAAAATTTTACCTGTGCAGGGTGACACCGGTAGCCCACTTTTGGGTTTCTGCGCCCCGACTCACTGGGTTGTTTACGGCATTGTTTCTGACGGACCACGACGTGACGGTTTCGAGCATCTGCCACTCATCGGCACTAAGGTTTCGCACTACACCCAAAACTTCATTCACCCTTACATAGATGCCGTAACCACCTCGCAGGTTCAAAGGATATGCGCCTCTCGACGTTGAATGGAATGGCATGGTCTCTTGCCTGGGCTAAGTACCCAGTATAACAATGAACGTAAGTGTAGAAAACGAGCTATCTATCCTGGGCTAAGTACCCAGTATGACCATGCATGTAAGTGTAAAAAACGAACTATACATTCCTGCTAAACGCAGTGACCATCCAGTATTCAAAGCTGTTCTTTGAATAAAACACATACAAGAAGCAGACTACAGCTTCTAAATGCTGTATTAGTGTACCTCATTCACTATTCAGTGCCTGTGAAGAAGCTTTCAACTGGCAGATGGCTTGTGCATAAGCTAGTTAAATATACTGCACTATCTGTAATAAAGCATTCATCCTCGCAATTTTTTCTTAGCCGATTCTTGCGAAACCTTTACGCTTAATTCTTGGGAACAATGATTTTAAGCTTGAATTTCTGTAAAATGTGGTAAAATTTTCATGCCACTTGAAGGCTCTAATTTCACGCCACCTTTGTGCAGATGCAAAAATGACCATTTCATAACCGCGTGCTCAGTTGTATTTTTGTTTGAGCTTATACGTGCAGACATTTCGACCAGAAATTCAGCTAGCATCGTTTTCGTTAAAGTAGGGTTGACAGGCGGGCTAGTTGGTACAAATTCATAATGGAATAATTCGAAGCGCAAGCCAACGGGACGCAAGAAAAAAGACAAACAAGCGCAGATTAAAACTCAGTTTATTCAGAGAAGAAATTATATACCAAAAAGATGAGAAAGGGAAACAACTGGGGAGAAGGTTCCACCATAATCAGGTGTCGTCCAGAAACAATATTTTACAATCTAACAGTGATACAGACGGTGAACTAACACAACTATCAATATTCTTTTTAATAAAAAAGGCTTCCGCAATATCTCTAGTTTTCATGTCATTATGGCTGTATAAGACAGATGTGCGCGAAAAATCAGGTACGCAGCCACACTTTTTGCAATGGGCGGACAAATGTAAGCCCGGCACTGGTTTCAACGCATTGTAGTGTTCTCGCAGGTGAATATTCAAGCAGCGCCCAGTCTGTTCAATGTAAAACCTGCCGCAAAACAGTGGGATACAATAAACGACACTGATTTTTCGCGCACATCTGTCTTATACAGCCATCATGACATGAAAACTAGAGAGATTGCGGAAGCCTTTTTTATTAAAAAGAATATTGATAGTTGCTTTAGTTAACCGTCTATATCACTGTTAGATTGTGAAATATCGTTTCTGGACGACACCTGATCATGGTGGAACCTTCTCCCCATTTGTTTCCCTTTCTCTTCTTTCTGGTATATAATTTCTTCTTTGAATAAACTGAGTTTCAGTCTGCGCTTGTTTATCTCTTCTCTTGTGTCCCGTTGGTTTGCGCTTCCTATTATTCCATTATTGTTTTTGTTAACCTATCACCAATACAGCAGCCACACAAAAAATATGTCCCATATTGTTATTCTGTCTCTGGAAGCAAGAACTTCTTTAATTACAAATACGTTAATTATTTATACCATATTGAAGTACAAGCGAGCATTTAAAAAGCATACTCTCGGTTGATGCCACAACAAAATTTGCACCACTGAGTTTCTTGCATTGTGCCGGTAACATGATCACCGTGTACTGGTACATTCATTGTACTGAACAACTTTCAAGCGCCCCGCCGCGGTGGTCTAGTGGCTAAGGTACTCGGCTGCTGATCCGCAGGTCACAAGATCGAATCCCAGCTTAGGCGGCTGCGTTTTCGATGGAGGCAAAAGTGCTGTAGGCCCGTGTGCTCAGATTTGGTTACACGTTATGGAACCCCAGGTGTTCGAAAGTTCCGGAGCCCTGAACCACGGTGTCTGTCACGATCGTATGGAGGTATTGTACGTTAAACCCCACATATCAATCAAACGATTTGCAAGCAGTGAGATGCAGTTATTTGATACAGATACATAACATTTGAAAGAGTCGAAGAAGACGACATAGAAAGAAATTAAAGGACCCTAAAGCTTTGCCTCTAGGTGTTGAACGAGAAAGTGACGTCTTCTTCCTAGTGCGTATTTCAAAAACTTGGTGCACAAAACCACTTAAAATTTGCTATGTACTCATTATACGTCACCCTAAGGGATAGGCGCAGTAACGTTTGGGCCTTTTGTAGTGGGGTACCGGCTTTCAACCATGGAGCCTATATGATAATCACAATCTGACGCCCGTTAGCAATGAACGCTTGTAGCGCACATTATTACTGCAATATTTCTTGTTGCATTGTGAAGCAAGTATGCAGGACGCGTGCGTTTGTATTTCTAGCAGACGAAGTTCTTTTCACTGTTTTAACTAGCAGAAGCGTGGCCGTGTGGTAGTGCATCTGCTTGCCAACCATGCGACCCGGGTAAAATCTCCACTCGGACCCAAACAGCCCTGGTTTGTTCCTAACTCTGCTCCATGTTTTCTTACCATTAGTTATTTTATTTGCATCGTTCTTGACTTTTCAGTCCCGCATAAGGTGATGATTTTTCGCTGACAACGAACGACGCCAACGCTGACACCAGAATTTCTGCGAAACGAGCTTTTTAACGCTGCCGCATTAACAGTAGACAGTAGTTACAGGTTACATTACTTGAGCAGTGAAAAATGCTCTTAATGAAGTGAAACGTGGTCGTCACACACCATAGCCAAGCTAGTCAAGGTAGAACTGGCACGCAGCGGCTGGACGGATTGTAAGAAAGCACGGAAAGGAGCAATTCACATACAAAAGCCTTAATACGGATGAATCAAGAGCCTAACACACTGGTGACGTCTCGTGGATCACCATCCTAGCACCACTAAGTACGCAGATAGAGTAGAACCGCTAGGAAAGAAAGAAGCGCTATAAGTTCGAAATTTGAGCGGTAGTTTAGGGCTTCTTCAGGCGGGACACTCACTTTTATTGTCGGATTTCAAGAATTTGTGTGTATGTTTGTTAGTTTTATGTACAAAGCACAGTTGTACACGACCCACTAACATGTTACGTACACTCTCCACCAATAGACGTGGAACTGCACACAAAACACTTAACCTAATGTCTCAGGTCGTTGTTGCAGACAGCTTGTGCTCTTAAGACAATATGCGGCTAGAGGGCAAAGCGTAATGGACATAGAAAAATCATCGGGACAGCATGAGCTTCTGTTGAAATTGCTAATATTTTTTTTTTCAAATCGTTCTAAATCATCCGCGAAAGCTCTCACTAACCAGGAAAAAGAGCTGCTTGCCACTCATCTCCTTTGCACAAAAGGAAGTAACAAGCTTCATTTGCACAAACAGGTAAAGCTGAACGCAGCAAATCGTGTCAAGTGGAAGAAAAACTTTTCAGGATAACATAGCCGTCCCTCAAAATTCCAAATCATATGGGAGTCTTGGTAGCCCTGAGAAGGAAACGCACAGCACACAACTTACATGTATAGCGAATTCATGAAGTTATCAGTTAAACTTTGAAGGATCCGGGGTCTTGTCGCTAGGAATAAACTTTGGTCCCACAACAGGCACCTACACAGAATTTAAGTTCATTGCCAATCTTCATGCCTTCCAATGAAAGATATGGTTCTGTCAGTAACTCTTCAACTACCAATCAAGTGATCAAATCAGCTTTATGTTACCTTCTTGTAAACAGTGGACACCACTTACTCAACCGAACAAATACCTCGACTTATACATATGAGCTGTACAGGAGGATATACCTAAAATGTATTCACACTTTCGTCCTTTTGACATAAGCTGAGCTCTAAAGAGGCTGAGGCTATGAACGCATTGGTCAACCCCAAAGACTTATTGACTAACCAGGCAGATAAACGTGGTGCTTTGGGGGTTAAGGATGCCAATAAGTACATTGATGAAGCTCATAGACAACTTTAAGGTATATATGCTCTTGATTGACCACGCAACAGCAAAATTTAAATGTACTGTCAGTGATGTTGTTGCATATCAAGGAAAGAAAAAACAATATCGCTAAATCTGCGTTGCGTACGCTGATTCTACCAAGTCGGACGGCAGGTAAGTTGTACATGCTACCCGAAATTCTCAAAGAAAACAATTCCTGTAGAGAACTTGTGTGCGGTATAGGTGCGGTGGCTAAGAACCTCTGACGCTATGTTGATGGGCTTGGTTTTTTCATTACAGCCCCACTTCCCGGTATAATAAAGGTATAAACTATTTCTATACAATGTAATTGGTTTACCAAATTTTAATGTCTTTTTTGCTGATAGTCAGTTTCTGCTGTTTGTGCTCTACTAATCTCCATTATTGTGTACAACGACTTTGATCAGGATAAAACTGTTCACACCTCTCCACTAGCTACGCTTCTCAAGTTGATTCTTGAACCGAACAACATCGAGTTCGACGACCCATACGTTTTTCAAGTTAGCGGCACTTCTATGGGCCCAAGGATTGATCCCAATTACTTACATTTTTTAAGGGTCTCCTAGTACGCAAGTTTATTGCAAGCCACGATTTTAAACCTTTTTACCTACAAGCGTTTCAAGAAAAATATTTTATATGACATCATGGCGAATCCCCATTTCTTCTTTTCATTGACAATTTTAAGAAAGCCCACCTAAACGTGTAATTTTCGCATGCATGATTGGCCCAATCCTAACGTTCATGACGTCAGAGTGACACCATGCAAACAGGAATTGACGACCAAGATGTTTAGAAAATCAAGCGATAGACATCAGTAGGTTCGTTTTCAATGTAGTCATAAAGCACTACTAAAGCAGCATTCCATATAGTCAAGCTATGCCTCTTAAAACGCACCTGCTTTGGATTCAGCAATGGATTTGTCTGCAGCTGCTCAGACCTTCGTGGTGCACTAGCCTGGCAATTATATTCTGTGGGAATCATTGATTACGCCTTCGAGAATGCGGACAACATTGACTTCAAGGAGTTAAGTAACGAACAATGAGCGAACTATTCACTTAACGAGGTTAATATCATCCTACGCTCTCAATGTTGACTGATAATATCGTCAGTAATCTTGAAACACATGTCATAATTTTGCTTCAAAGTTATTGCCTCAAATAGATCCTTACGAAATTATTGAGAGTGGTTCACCATCAATCACGTAACGTGAATAACACCTTATCATCATAGAAAATAACTAACCGGTTCAAATAAAAGGCTTTCATTCCTGTAAAAAACGCTTCTGCAAGGTTTGTGCACACATGTCAAGTTCACATACCACAACTATCAGCACCCAAAACTTTTCCTTGTGAATCAACAGAAACA